AAGCAAAATAGTTTACATCTTTGTCTTCTGAAAACAAGCTCACGTGAGTTTTACCAGAAATAGAGTGTCTGTGCCGGACGGTTGGTGAACCCCCCACTCCAAGAACATCAGCGGCATCAGTGGTGGAGTGTCCCTCTGGTTAATTCTAGCCTGTGTTGATCCCACGTGGCAGTAGAATTGACCCCAGGGGTGTCCTAGGTCAAAGTCCTCAGGGGGTGGTTGCCAGGCCTTGCTCCTGTGGAACGACCGGCCTGCGTTTTGGTTGGCAGCCAAATCCTCACCCGGTGTCCTTCTAGGGCTCCTTTCCTTGCTATTTATTCGGGCCACTTTAAACTTACCCCTTTGCCTCTGACATTTTTGGAAAAGACTCATGTCCTTCAACTTTTGCTTGTTTTTGGAATTCCAGGCATACTTGTTTCAATGTCTTTTCTGCCTTACTTTTTGAGACAATATAATTTAATAGCATAGCAGCAGGGTCATAGCGATGAAGGACTGAAATGAGTTCTATGTCTGCACAGTTTTGTATGCATTCACATACGACTGGCTCGGTCAAAGATCCTTATATTGTAAAAAAAAGGCTTGCCTTTTATCTCCAGATACAGATGTTTAACTGACTAAATTTGTCAGCTAACCTTCACCTAATGTTTCAATTTGTTAATTTTCTTAATTATTGGGGGGAAATAATGTTCTATTTTATATGGGAAAGGATTGAGAAATCACAGCGTTGAGCTTAGAGAATATTTATGTAAATAAAAAGCATGCTTTTATATATCATAAATTAGTTAAAGTAGGTGTTGGGTTTTTTTATGATTCAGATGAGGGAAAAAAAGTTGGCATCTGAATTGTCTAATCCTAGCTCTTACAGGCCATTTAAAAATTCATTCTAGATTGCCTCTTGTATTGAAAGTTGGGTAGTTTGAATATGCCAGCTGCTTAGTGAGAGATGCTAAGACAGTCAGTTCCCATTAAGAGTAGACAGCCTTGGAGCCCCCGTAAAGACTGCCATGAGCGGGCAATGGGTTGGGTTTTGAGTTATATTAATATCAAGAATATTTAAAATGTCCCCAGATAGTTGTTGTTGTTGTTATGTGCCGTCGAGTCGTTTGCGACTCATAGCGACCCTGTGTACAACAGCCCTAAACCCTGCTCTATCCTGTGCCAATCGCACTGCCTCTGACACACCCATCCCAATTATCCCAGTCACTGAATCAATCCACTGCAGGGAGGGTCTTCCCCTCCTGCGCTGTCCCTCCACTCTGCCCAGCATGATGTCCCTCTCTAAAGACCTGTCTTTCCTTACAACATGTCCAAAGTATGTCAGACGAAGCCCCAGAATCCTTGCCTCCAAGGAGCAGCCTGGTTTAACCCTCTCTAGGATGAATCTGTTTGTTTTCTTGGCAGTCCAGGGTACATTCAATACTCTTCTCCAGCACCACAGCTCAAAGGCGTCAATTCTCCTTCTATCCTCGCTAGTCATTGTCCAGCTCTCTGATGCATAACAAGTGACTGTAAAAACGCTGGCCTGTATCAGGCGAACCTTAGTCTCCAGAGAGACACTGTTGCTCTTGAGTACTTTAGAGAGGTCCCTAACCGCAGACTTTCCCATCGCTATGCGTTTTTTTATTTTCTGGCTACTGGTGCCAAGAGTGTTGACCGTGGAGCCGAGCAAACTGAAGCTGTGAACAAAGTCATCTTTTTATGCCTTAAGTCTGTTCAGGTTTTGCTGACTCAGGTCTGTCTTTTTGCTGATTCAAGAAAGAGTCCTAGAAATTGGTGTTTTGAAATCTATTGAATAGTTAATTTCTATTTTAACTATTTAAGTTATCCGCCTCCCCCTCCCCAGTTAAACCGCCTCTTTTAAAATTTCAGTTTATTAAGAAGTTTAATTACCGTAAAAGAAGCCACATGAAAAGACTTATCAAGTAACCTGGACAGAGCACATTATATATAGTATACAAGCATATATATTAAGTACATTCTCCTCAGAAAATGTTTAAATGTTGATAATGCTTGTTTACCTTTTAAATAGAAAATTAAGATTAAAAAGACATTTTGTATTTTCTGTAATTTGTTGGAAATTAATTCAATACGCATTGTTGTTGTTGTTGTTTGCCATGGAGTTCAGAACCATAACTGACTCGCCGGCAGGTGTTCAGAGACAGTAAATCGCATGAGAGGAGATTGCACACTCTTCTCCTATGGAGCAGCTGGTGGATTTGAACATTGCACCTTGGAGTTTGCGGCCCAATTTCTTGCTACTAGATCACCAGAGCTCCTCAATACTAATTAGTGCTACTAATTTCTTTGAAATTAAATTATTGCTATGTGGATTCAGCCATCATTTTTTAGGCATTTAAACATTTTTTTTTCTGTTTTGGGGAAAATATTCTTACTTAAATACCTTAAGTATAGGAGAAATTGAGTAGTTTTTGTTTAAGTTTAGCCTCTTTGAGATAACTCTTTATGTTAGAAAAGTTAAAAAAAAATCACCAAAACAGTGATGGTCTAAAGGACTTAGCATATCATTAAAAAAAAAATAACCCACCAAACCCAAACACCATGTGACATGGGAAGGGAGGGTGGTAAAAATAAACCAAAGCAAACCATACAATATCACCAACAACAATCTAACCAGTTAATACATACATCTTACCAAAGAATATCACCTATTACTAACCCAGTCAGAGGTGAGTGAGAGTTGGGTTCATATAGGCATATGAAAATTCATTTTCTGTCTGAAAACTATCTAAGCTAAGAGCCTATAAGACATCATCTTGAAGTTCGTCACTGACAAAACTACCAAGCATTATATAGCCATGCTCCTCCTTTCATGAGAATTATTCAGTTGATCTGCAGCTAGCATTTTCATCAATGATGGCAAAATCACCCAATACAACAGGAAGCTCCGGTGGCTTGTGGTAAGGAGTGGAGCTCCCAACCCAAAGGTACACAATTTGAGTCTACCAGCTCTGAAGGAGAAAAGGATAATCTCTTCTGTAAAATCTATAGGCTCTGAAAACCCCTTGGCGGGTCAACTGAATTGGTTCCCACACAATGGCAATGACTTCTTGTTATTGTTTATTAAAGTGATCTTAGTGAGCTCTAGTGGTATAATCTGCGGCACTGCTGACCCAAAGCTTGCTCATCTCCGGTGGTTCTAATCCACCAGCTGCTCTTCAGAAGAAAAATGAGCAGTCTTCTCCCCTAAGATTTAGAGTCTCAGAAACCCAACGGAGAATTGCTATGAGTTGAACAAAGTCAGTAGCTATGAGTTGGGGGCAGGGTTTGGATAGTAATCTTAATAGAAAGTCAAGTTTCTTGAACTCTTTTCTAATTGTTTTCTTAGTATTTCCCCGCCCCCCTTTAAAGTATTTTTTTTACAAAATCAGATTGGATCATCCTATTGAATGCCTGGGTCAATGTTCCATACTGAGAACATTTTAAAAGTTTGGCCGTATTACATATCACACTTGCGACTCTCAGTAAATGTCATCTGTTTGATTTAAAAGTTATCAAGTATGCAACTTGTCCTTTAACAAGAATTATGATTCATTTTAAGAAAATTGTCTTTCTTATTTGATATACTTACTGCTTTTATGATTCCTTATGAGTTATGCCCCGAGCTGAACATCTCTTCTGAATATTATGTATGTATCTATGTACTATATACCCGTTTATTTATATAAATGAAATTTTTTCCAGTTCTTTAATTTCTAAAATTACTTTGATCAGAAACATTAGTCTTATTAAAACACATATTTCAGAAATTCTCAGTGCTATTATGGTAGCTTCCCAGATGTGTAGAAGAATGACCATGTTCTTTTACGCTAAAACCCGAGTCTCTATAACCTAAGAGTGTGTAGAAAGAAAAACTTGAAAGTCTAAAAGGAAAAGTCAGTTCTTAATAGCCAACTTTGAAAGGATTAAAGTAATTGATCCAAGTATAAAGACACCTTGGCTGTAATTATTTTGTTCTTGATTATGTCTCTGGAAACAAGCAAATAGCACTCAGTGGATTGTTGGGAGCAAAGTCATATTTTCAATGACAAACACTACTTCATGCACAGTGCAGTTAATTTACAGCATGGCTCTCTAAAAGGTTCCAAAACCAGGATTTTTCTAGCATGTTCCCCCAGCCCCCAAAGCCAGATAAGTTTACTTTCTTAAGCATAAAAATAAGCAATATATCTTTTCAATAAATCTGCTAGCACTGTAGGGCAGCTGTTAACCAAACAGCACTGGATAGAGTTACTGGAACAATCTCCGAAGGGCAGAGCTGATGATTCGGAGATCTGGGAAGAATTTGTTTCAGCTTGTATTCAATGCATTCCTTACTCTATTCAGATGTAATAAAGTATTTGAGACGCCATTACTCTGAATTCAAAATAAGAGTTAAAAACTCCTACCAACTCTTTCTAAACAAAGCCACTTTGAGTAAACCAAAATGAGTGAACACTTGAAGACCTTGAGACTTGGAAACACCAGTTAGGGAGGAGCGGTGTAGGGTGGGCATTTCTCCTCTAAACTGCATGTCTTCTCTGTTTTGCAAAACTGCATGCTTAAAGTTATTGATTATTTTATCTCAGTGCAGATTATTTGATATGCTACGTAGGGGTATAAAGCATTTTTATTTTCTTTCTAAAATATATATATATCTATTGAACATTAACTTAACGTTTGCTTTTATTTCAGCTCAATTTGTACTCTAATAATGGCTAATTGTTATGTTCTAAGCACTCATTTCTTTGTATGCTTTTAATTAATAGAGAAGCATATTGCAGTAGCTTTTTTTTTAAAAAAAAAGAGATTGTAGGAATATTGCTTCTCAGAATAAGATTTTTTTTCTTTTGCTTATTTTTTATTTTCTTTTTTTCTTTAAGTTGCCTCTTGAGAAAGTAAGGTTAATGCCATGTACCATACTAGTTTGCATGTGTTCATTTAAATACTAAAAACTGTAGTACTGCTCGATCCATATCTGACTGCTAGGTTTCAATTGACAGCTGAGGATTTGTGACTGGACCATGAATCAAAACGGCAGGCATTTATACCCCAGTACCAGTGAGGATACATTGGGAATTACTTGGCAAAGGTAACATTTTCATTATTTCCAACCCTGCACTTACACCTAAAATTACATGAGCTATATAGTGTTTATGTTTAACTAGCTTTACAGAAAATATATGTTAACATTTCAGTTGTTTTGGCTCTCCTATCTCTCTCCTCTTACCTCATCTCCCTTTATTTCTTATTTAAATGCAATATCAGATGAATTCATTTGGGAAGATAGCATACGCTAATTGGTGATTGGGATTTCTAAGTGCTGGCAAATGTTTGAAACAATTTATAATATTGTGGAGGTAATTCAGAAATCTAACACTGAAGCCTTAAGACTTGAATAATGAAATCACCATTTTAAGGAGGGTTTTCAATTATCTGAGGATATAGCATTGGGTTTTACAGTGTAAGATTATCTCATTTCAACTCTTTCCTCTGTTGCTCATAGTTAAGTACTCTTCCTTCCGCCTGTTTAGAGTTGGGGGGTAGGGTGGGACTAGAAGAAAAATCTCAAGTTAATTTTACTGTTTTTAGCAGCCTCCGTAAAGATGGCAGAAATCATTAGCTAAAGCAGGCATTTGACTTAAATACATTGTCATTTCTCTTCGTCCCTTGGTGTGGATCATTGAGAGCTGAGGATAGACTTTATTTGATAGACTGGAAAAATTTTTCCAAAACTTCATTTTCAAAACTAGTTCTAATAGCTCATGTATTGGTGTTAGAGAGAGTGCTAGCTTAGCTTCTCATGTGTAATTTTGATAAAGAGTGTGTTCAGATTAACAAATCATTAATATCAGTGGTGTAATCATATCAAATAGGAGGTAATAATTTGAAGGAGCAAGTGAAGTAATTCAGTAAGGAGATCCCCAAAGCAGAGCCCGGATAGTTTTCCAGCTCCTCCATGACTATATCCCCACTTTACAGAGAATGGCTGTCCACAGTCATAATGTCTGTGTGGAGTAGGCTGATAGATGCTAAGAGGAGTGTTCAAAGAATTAAAGGTTTTAAATGTCAGGTTTGATTCCAATATAAGTCTCAGAAAATTAGTAGGGTACCACTTTTTAAAACTTAAGTGTTATTCATTCACTACCTAAAGTAAATACAATATGACTTCTCTTCTTTTTAAAGATTAATGTAGCATCCATCTAAAAGTATACCATACATTTTTCCTTATTTTGATTTGTCTGTAAGTAGCTAATACTGCTCCCCGCTTTGGAGGATGAAAAACCATGGCCTCTGACAAAGATCAGCTCGTTGGAAGTGTCTCATAAACGAATAATTGATATTCTTAATTAGGATCTTTTTAGACTTAATTAGCATTTATAAATTAATTGAATTTTATACCAAAGTTGATTAAATTTTATTAAATGATGTCCTTATATTCCACACACCATCTACCACATAGCAAATAAAAAAAGTGATATACGTGATTTTTTTCCCCCGCAAAAGTGAAATAAAACCAAGTGTGCTTGGTTTGTGCTTCAAGTGTGTTAATGTACCTCTCTGTGAACTTCCAAATGTATGAATTACTGATGGCTTTTTTTTATTTTAATTAAAGTTTACAGAGACTTTGTGTTTCCATTCATACATTGTTGCACAAACTTTTATTTAATCTACAATAGGGTGTCATCTCTTAAGTGTCTTCATAGCCAAATAAAGATACATATTACAAGAGATTTAAAAAGCCACCTTTTAATAATTTCTGTTAAATTTTGAGTAAAAAATGGATACTCTTATAATGATAGAGAGTGGACACTAACTCCCTCCAGAGAAGTATCACAGTGGATTAGTGTGGTGACCGAACTCGTATTTGTAGGAAAAGTATTGCTCACAAAACAGACACAATATCCCGTGGTGAGATTTGGGTGTGAAAATCGTGTTTGAAAGAGTCCGCACTTAATCTAAGTCAGCACTTAATTACTCAATGTTTTACCCCCCACCCCATAGTAATTTTATTTTTTAATTAGTATATAGAGGGAGCTCTGATGGCTTAAGGATAAGGAATTGTCCTGCCAACACAAATACATGTGGTTTGAATCTGTCAGCTGCTCCCTAGGGAAAACTTCCTGGCAAGTAAGCCGTGAGTGGGTTCCAAGTTGACAGTACACATAAACAATAACAACAACAACAGTCAGTATATAATTGAGGTGTAGCATGGCATGGGTGCTTCAGACATTTACAAGATAATAGCTTTTTCATTGTCTCTTTTCTTGCAGAATTGATAAGGGTGGTGTCATTTTCAAAAGATCACCTGTTTGTTGAATCTGTGGTGTGCCTTGGGGGCCTAGAGTGGGGAAGTCCCGAGAGAGTTTTGCTGCTGACTCAGAGGGTTAACTCATCTTTGGTGGTTTGAGTCACCAGCGATCCCTTACGCGGCAGAGACACAGTCTACTTCCGTGCGATTCACAACCTCAGAAACCCAATGGAGGCTTGCTTGGAGTTGGAACGAACTCAATGACAGTGAATTCGTATTTGAGATGTATTTTTTTATAGCATTCCTAGTTCCACCTCAATATAGTGACTGAAGATACCCTCCTAGTTCTTAAAACCTCATACAGTTAAAAAGAAATACTCTCAAAGAAAATAGCATTTTGTTTCACTTTGTTACTCTTAAAAATTGGAAGCAGGAGTGGCATCCACTTCCAAAAAAAAAGCTTGCCTCCAAGAAACTCTATGAACTTGGAGAAAAGATGAAAGTTTTGTGCTCAAGACTTTTGTTCATAGGGTTGCTATGGGTCACCTATGACTCTATGGCACTTAACAACAACAACTGTTTTTAAAAAAGCTGATACAGGGTTTTGATGTAAAAAATTATGGGCAAAGCTTGTTAGGATACAGCTTTATCCATAATTTCTATTTTATGCATGGTGAGTTTTTTTTAACTCGCTGTTTTCCAGGGCTTTTAAAGAAAGGACATCTAAAAATGTCAGTAACTGTTAATTTAAAAGATAATAGACATCAAAAATCTTCAGGTAATTCTATAGCTTTAGGATTACCTGAATAAATTGAAAATATCTGAGAAATGTAGATCTATTCAGCCAGAGAATTAAATCATTTCCTTTTGTTAGAATAAAGAAAATGCCATGAATTCTTTGTAAGAAGACACTTTGTTGTAGAAAAGGACGAAACAGCCATTTTAAGGGTTGCTTTGTTTTCTTTTGCTTAATGGGTGTGTTACTGTCACCATTCCTTTCTACAAATGATCACTTGTCCGTGATCACCCCTTTTCTGTGGTAGAGGTATGTTCAGCAGGCCTTGATATGCAAGTCTGATCAAAGCCAGAAGCTTTCTTCCACCTTACTTCTTCCCCTTGAAGTCTAATCATTCCCTTAGAAACTAAAAGCAGACTCCTTTGGAAGGTTTTCACAGACTTACTAAATTGCAACCCTTAAATTGCTTTGACCTCAGAAACTTGTACTTTATTTGTGTGTGTGTGTATATGTGTCTGTGTGCGTGCACCTGCATACACAGGTATGTGCTTCCATGTGAAGGAGTGAGTTGCTTCAATCGAAAAAAAGTGTATTTTCCTGTCACAGCTATAGGTCTAGTTCTGTATCTACCCAGCGTGACATCCCCAGTTGCTGTTGGTTACGGGCTGGCTTACCTGATGGGGCTCAGATCTTACAAGGGTGGTAGGTGATAGATTGCTTATCCTAAGTGCTGTTGTATTTACATGTTCCCCTCCTCTGTGGATGAATTACCGTGCCTCACATACGAGTTAAGGAGGTATAAACACATGCAGCGGTTCCTCCCTAGCTGACTTTCTTTCTTGAAACTATAGCCAGAACTTAGCTCATTCTATCAAGTATGAAAGAGTAAATAGAATTGAATGAGAAAGAGAGCCAGAAGACAGTCCAAGAATAATATAAACATAAGTTATTTTAAAACAGTGGAAGGAGTGCTTTATGCAAAAGAGAAACTGAATGTATTGTTCATTCCTTCACCCCTTTCAAGAAAACACAGAGTCACAAGTGAGTGGTTGTATGTGTCTGGTGGCTTATGTAAACATCGAAGAGGCCTTCAGATGGCTAAAATAAACATATGCGTGTTACTGAAGAATATGTTTACACAAACCATTTGCTCAGCCTCTGAAATAATGAATAAATGAAGATTTTACTGAAATGATTGCAAGATTTTTTTTTTCATTTCTGCTGGTGGCATGTTTGAATGGCACCAAAGCCACTTTTATCAGCTATTTTCCACATTCCGAGTGTTAGTAGTTCCTTTCCACGAGGGGATGCCTCGATCTGTAGGCCTTTACACGTGTTTTTGTAAGAAATTGTCATTTATTACTGCAGTTCTCAAGAATTACTTGATTTCCCAAGAGAAATTTAACAGCCAGTAAAGATAATTTGGATCTGGTGGGCCAGAAGCAGGGTGACAAGGAAGAGGAATAGTCATTTGATAAGTATAACCATATTTGCATGACACTCTCTTTAACTATTTTTGTTTGCTTTGTCTATAAATATTTGGCTTCACTATGGATGCTCCCAGAAAGACTTATGGATTAACATTTCAGCAAAAAGAATCTTCAGTACTGAACTGCAATACTTATCTGTCTGTCTACACATACATGTACACACACATACACACAAGTGTGTATGTCTATGCATGCATACAGTTACATGCATATTTATATTCATGTATCTATAACATGTGTGTGGTAATGGCTGTATGTTCATAAGCTGAAATAGTATTAAGAGTAAAGTTTTTCCTAAGCATTACATTTGGACTCTCCCTGCCAAACTCCCTAAGTTAGTCTTTTTTGCTTTCAGTTTGGGGTCTTGACCTTGAACTACATACAGCTCAACAGCTGGGCTGTCCCTGGAGTTCTTGAGGGGAGCTTTCTTCTCAGAGTGCTGAATTTCCTTTTCAGCTGTCAGTTCTAAATGTGCTCAAAACGTTCAACTTTTTACACACCACCCCGGGCCCCTAGCACTGCTCTGGGACTATGACAGAGATGCTGATACAGGAGATAAGGGGAATAATCTTTGGTTCAAGACAAAAAAAAAAATTGCAGAAGCACAAAGTGAG